GCAAACATCTCCTCGATTTCAACCGGGGTGGAGGGTTCGACTGGAAGCTAGACAAGAGCCCGAGACCGCATCGGAAGATCCGTTCATCGGCACATCTTCCATACTGATGTGCCAAGCGGAACTCTTGCACCGCGGCAGTGGCCAAGGATTTCCCCTGACCACCTTCATGAAAACAGAGGAAATAGCAATGGCTACCCGCTTCTACTCCTCATCAGAAATGGTCCCATATTCCTTGTTGCGGTCGAAAACGCCAGGTTCTACTGAGCTGCAAGTTTAGCTAGTTCGTTAAACATTGGAGCCGCACCAAACCGTGGCGTATTGCCGAAGGAGGATTCCTTTGGGGCCTGGTTGATTCCGCTTTTCATCGTCGAGCCACAAAACACCCTTTTGATCCATCAAGTGTGCTAGCATGCTGCTCAATTCCTGTTTAGCCTGATTGCACCGATCACTCAAAATCTTGGCCGCCAACCTGTTTAGCGCGATCTATCTTCCGGTAAGGTAAGGCTATAAGATGCCAAGGTTATCTTAGTTACGAGGCCAAGGCGAGGGTTGACCATGCAATGCATTCAGAGCCGACACCCGAAAGGAGAAGTCATCTCTATGTATACTTACACACCAACTTAATGATATGCATAAAAGTAATAGTAATAAGATATAAGCATATTAATAGAAAGTAGTCATTTGCTTAATTGTCTTCAAAGCATTAACTTGAAAAACTGCTTTAAAATTTGGTGAATGCTTTTAAAACAGAAGCGATAGGTAACCGTATATTCATTGACACCAAAATTTCTAACTAATTATCTACTCAAACATGAGCAGACAGTTGCGGTACGTAAAAGATTAGAAGGGTGTTCTTGGTAGATACTCTAAGTACTTATAAACTATTACTAATTTCTTATAAACATAAATTGTGTAATATTCTGCTAATGTATCCGTAAATAAGTTACTGAGGAGTGAAGTATTAATTTTATTGAAGAAAGCTAAATTTTTATTTTACATAGTTTATCCTATTGTATTAGAACCAGACCAAGGATAAAATTTCCCTGAAAGCAGAGTAGAACTTGGGAGCATACTTTCCAAACCATGACGGACAATCCTATAACACTGTAAATGTTAAAATAATTCATTTATCTATTTTGATAAACTGTTTATAAATATTTAAGTATACCTAGACTAGGAAATTATGAAGTATGAAATTTCTTTGAGCAAACAATTTCGATAGAAACATTCAGAAAATATAAAATACAGATAATCGCGCAAATTACAGGCTTTGTTAGTTCCAAAATATGTCAGTGCGAGCAAACGAACAATTCAATAAACTCTTCAACATAGTAGTCAACGTCAAAATCCTAAAATTCGCTCAGAAGAACAATATAGGAATACTCAGTTACTTGGGTCCCGGCGGAAAAATATGTACCGTTACAGAGGAACACAACGTCGGCAGCTTAGTACGAGGGGCAAAAGGGAAGAAGTTTTGAAACAGAGACGTCGTCAGCAGAGTCAGATCCGCCTTCTTGGAGGCAATTTATTCAATCGACAAATTGAAAACGAAAGGCAGTTCCAACGAATGAGGTTAAGGAGAGAAAATAATGTAAAAAAAACTGATTAAACAGATCTCAGAAATGTTTATTTTGAAAATATAAAGAATGGTCCGGCCGAAATATGTACTTGCTGTGACGGATTAAAGTTTTCATAGTACAATAAATAATAATTTCAAAACTATTGCTCAAGGTCATCCGAATGCTGCATCAGCCTCTTTTTTGATGCACAAGATAGATAGGATTTAAACCCAATTGAAGAACGGCTAATAATGCCTAGATTGTCCTTTAGGAAAATTCGTCCTTTGGGTGTCCTTGATATTTGTTAAAAGTTCCTGTTTTTAATATTCCCACTCCTGTTAATAATATTGGGACATCTCTACCGAGGTCCTTTGATGAGACTCATGTGATACAAATTCACTTAAGAAGGCATTTGGGCTTTAATATCGATTATGTGACTGATACAATACGTCCCGCAAAGAATATGGAAAGCTCGCATTTCTTAGTGAATATTCGTCTGTAATCTAAGCGCAAAATACAAATTAATGAGGATTTATGAATTTAATAATCAGAAAAAGTTATTTTTGTTGCATCTGCCTGGAATTGTTTTACTCAAAATATAACGCATGCGGGCCACGGGTAATAATGAATAAATCAAATTTACTGGATCGATTTGAATAATTATTTTAGTGAGTGACATAGGCATACCATTTATACCCGTGCGAAGCCGGAGTGGGCCGCTATGTTTTAATATATAACGTCCACAGTTTTTCAGTAGTGTATTGAGAATCAGCAGTGCACCCATACGAAAATGGCTCGGGCCGCTAGTAATGCATATAATACCAATATTTATGTACATACTTTTGTCAAACCTTAGACCTTGTTGAATTTGCTCCATATTGACTGGTTCGATTGCTTTGCGCTTAAAGTAAAAAAAATGCGTGCATTATTTCCATTAAATCATCACTTTTATAACACAATATGGCTTTACAATTTTTTCTTTTAATAAACATTAAAGGATGTGAATATTTTAATGGCAAAAGCAGTTGTTTCACAAATCTTCAACAGCAGTGAGGACAGTATAGATTGGTGAATATATTTTACGTATTCTAATCACTTAAAATTTTTGATCGAAACTTGGTATTAAGTGAAGAACTATATCTACAATAAAATTTGATGGAAATAATTCGCTGGGGATGATTTCTTTTTTTGGTTATGTTAAGTTAATTCGATTCTCTCTCCTAGGTCGATTGTGAAAAGAGGATTTCACTTGGACAGCTATTAACTCCGGTCCGTTATGGCACTTAGAACTCCTATAAAAATTTGTCATAAAGACCTCATAAACCAACATAGCGTCCGAGATATCACTGCCGAGATATATCTGCCTCAGTCTTGTGAAAGCTGGACAATGGAGGGGAAAATGACCGCATGTTTCCACCTCATCTTCTTCCATACAACTTTTACAATTTGCGTCCGCCGACAATCTCCAGTTAGAACTCCTACGATTTATACAAGATGTACTTGGCTAAGGACAAACAGTTTAGTTGATTTCTTACGTTTTACTCTAGGCCAGAAGGATCTGGTAGTCGCACAGCCGCTGAACATCGACCAACGCCTGCAAAGCGCACGCGAGGTGCATAGGTCCAGTGCAAGAGCGCACGATGACAATGGAGATCCGATTCGTACCTACTCCGATGTGAGCAGGGTACGGGTGACTAGCTTGTCGGCTAAGCTAGTTTACAGTAATTCTACTGTGCCAAAGGCACCCAAACGAGTCTGATGATGAAGTAGCATTATGTTAATCTAAGTGAGGACAGACCCTCCTTGACTAACATTGAGCGCAGAGTTAACGAGTTCAATGCCAATATCTGCTGTTAGATTAAATGCTTACCTCCCTAAAAGAAGCTTTCTATCAAGAATAAGCTCCAGGTATTTTACCTTAGCAACAGGTTAAGGCGCGAGCCTTGGAAATAGGGGAGAGGGACGTCTGGGATTTTGTACCTCAAAGTAAATAAAACCATTATATTTTTTACTTTGGTTTACAGCTAAGCCGCTTCTATCGCCTACTTGGATACCACGCTGAGGTACTCGTGAGTTAGCTCGTAGACGGTACTTAGAAGAAAGAAACTAAAAGCAACGTCGTGTTACGCAGGCTGTCACCCGACAGGCTCGTTCTTCGAGTTCCTTAAGTAGTTCATTATCACCAAGAGCAATGGGAAAAGTATCCCACCATTGTGCACTACCCCACACCGCTATGACCGTTCTGTCACAGAAAAGAACGCTGAGGTTCGATTTCACCTCAAACTTTTCGAAGGCTTTGATCATTGCCTGTGAACGCACATTGCTGAATGCCCCCTCGACGTCGAAAAAGCTGCCTACAGAAAATTTCTTGTGCATATGAGCTCTCTTCTGCCATGACACTACATCGAGTAGAGGTATTTATCGATTTGAATTTGCTGTAGGCATGCTGGGCGCTTAAACGTTTACCGGTAGTTTACAATTGCGCCGGAATAATGCCATAAGGGACAGGAATCTTGAAGGGTTTCAGTTCACCCGGGTGACGTTCAACCGAAAGGCCCAAGAAGGCTGAACAGTCCTCTCAACTCCCCAGTGGTACTTCTTCAGCCGAGTGGTTCGACGTAAGTGATCATCTAGGAGTAGCTTCAACGATTGCTCACTGCTCACGGTCCATTTACCATCAGCATTCCATAGATGAGCTAGTGGAGTAGCTTTCCGTGAGGACTAATGACAGGTACACTTTCGCAGGCTCTCTTAGCTTTCTTCACCCAATCGTCTCCAGAGTAAATTCTACGGGGTTTGTTGAAAGGTCTGCTGCTCGAACATCTGATCTCTGTTAGCTCCGATATCCATCAAAGATGTTTCTTTTTTCCTTTCTGAGTTTTCGAAGAACAGGAGCTCTCAAGAGTAGTCCTACACGCAAAGCCACGACGGTGGTAAGATCGAGTCTCTGTTGGGTGCGGTTGGAAGAGCTGATCGAAGTTTCTTGCAATATAGGTCCCAATTTGTATTCCTGAAAGTTTTATAGGTTCTGCGTTCTGGGCGTAAAGCATCCAAACTGAATAGAGCGTCTCTGTGATCAGAGGGGGAATGATCGTCTAGAACTTTCCATTCCGAAATTAAGGGAATAATATCCATAGAGGCTAGTGTAACTTGAAGGACCTCCGTTCTGGTAGCAGTCAAAGAAGTGGGGAAGCTCTATTACAAAAAGAAAGGTTTTCACTGATTTAAATTCAAAAGTGGCTCACTTCTTGCATTTGTGTCCGAGCTTCCCCGACGGAGTACCTAAAGCTGACATCCGAGTCAATTATCACGCCGGCTCTTCTTCATCTGGCCTCTACTAGAGCGCTCCTCAGAGATCCGAAGGTAGCTCCACTTCGTCGTCCTGCCGCATGTAGGCTGAGACAAGCCAGAGTTTTCCTGCATAGTTTTGCAGCTTAGTGGGAATGACATGTTCGTTGCTGAAATCAGGTAGAAGAAAGCTTTTAGTTCATTTCTGACCAACAAACAAGTACTGATTCTACCTGTATTACTGGCTGCACAGAGCTTGTGTCTCCTTGTCTTTAAATCAGAAATGCCGTTTTGCTCTTCTCTTCCGTCCCTACTGGAGGCAGCGTGTCATTAGATCTGGCTTTCGTGGGGAGTATTCTGAGGATCACTCTCTCGAAATCATAGCTTTTGGCCTCTTAGAGACACTGAGAGGAGTGAGAGATTCTTTGTTTAGGAGTTTCAGAGATTGCCGATGTGACTTTTCAGTCCTGTCCAGCCTTTTCACTTTCTGGTCTTGGGTGAGAACAGAAGGATTGCAATAACGCAACATCTCCTCGATTTCAACCGGGGTGGAGGGTTCGACTGGAAGCTAGACAAGAGCCCGAGACCGCATCGGGAGATCCGTTCATCGGCACATCTTCCATACTGATGTGCCAAGCGGAACTCTTGCACCTCGGCAGTGGCCAAGGATTTCCCCTGACCACCTTCATGAAAACAGCGGAAGTAGCAATCGCTACCCGCTTCTACTCCTCATCAGAAATGGTCCCATATTCCTTGCTGCGGTCGAAAACGCCAGGTTCTACTGAGCTGCAAGTTTAGCCAGTTCGTTAAACATTGGAGCCGCTCCAAACCGTGGCGTATTGCCGAAGGAGGATTCCTTTGGGCCCTGGTTGATTCCGCTTTTTCATCGTTCGAGCCACAAAACACCCTTTTGATCCATTCATGTGTGCTTGATCCATTCATCTATCTTCCGGTAAGGTAAGGCTATAAGATGCCAAGGTTATCTTAGTTACGAGGCCAAGGCGAGGGTGGACGCATGCAATGCATTCAGAGCCGACCACCCGAAATGAGAAGTCATCTCTATGTATACTTACCACACCAACTTAATGATATGCATAAAAGTAAATAGTAATAAGAATATAAGCATATTAATAGAAATTAGTCATTTGCTTAACTGTCTTCAAAGCATTAACTTGAAAAAACTGCTTTAAAAATTTTGGTGAATGCTTTTTAAAACAGAAGCGATAGGTAACCGTATATTCATTGACACCAAAATATCTAACTAATTATCTACTCAAACATGAGCAGACAGTTGCGGTACGTAAAGAAGAATTAGAAGGGTGTTCTTGGTAGATACTCTAAGTACTTATAAACTAATTACTAATTTCTTATAAACATAAAATTGTGTAATATTCTGCTAATGTATCCGTAAATAAGTTACCTGAGGAGTGAAGTATTAATTTTATTGAAGAAAGCTAAATTTTTTATTTTACATAGTTTAGTCCTATTGTATTAGAACCAGACCAGGATAAAATTTCCTGAAAGCAGAGAACTTGGGAGCATACTTTCCAAACCATGACGGCCAATCCTATAACACTGGAAATGTTAAATAATTCATTTACTATTTTGATAAACTGTTTTTTGTAAATATTTAAGTATACCTAGACTAGGAAATTATGAAGTATGAAATTTCTTTGAGCAAACAATTTCGATAGAAACATTCAGAAAATATAAAATACAGATAATCGCGCAAATTACAGGCTTTGTTAGTTCCAAAATATGTCAGTGCGAGCAAACGAACAATTCAATAAACTCTTCAACATAGTAGCCAACGTCAAAATCCTAAAATTCGCTCAGAAGAACAATATAGGAATACTCAGTTACTTGGGCCCGGGGAAAAATAGTACCGTTACAGAGGAACACAACGTCGGCAGCTTAGTACGAGGGGCAAAAGGGAAGAAGTTTTGAAACAGAGACGTCGTCAGCAGAGTCAGATCCGCCTTCTTGGAGGCAATTTATTCAATCGACAAATTGAAAACGAAAGGCAGTTCCAACGAATATAAAGAATGGTCCGGCCGAAATATGTACTTGCTGTGACGGATTAAAGTTTTCATAGTACAATAAATAATAATTTCAAAACTATTGCTCAAGGTCATCCGAATGCTGCATCAGCCTCTTTTTTGATGCACAAGATAGATTTTTAGAAATACTATATTGGTTGGAGGATTTAAACCCAATTGAAGAACGGCTAATAATGCCTAGATTGTCCTTTAGGAAAATTCGTCCTTTGGGTGTCCTTGATATTTGTTAAAAGTTCCTGTTTTTAATATTCCCACTCCTGTTAATAATATTGGGACATCTCTACCGAGGTCCTTTGATGAGACTCATGTGATACAAATTCACTTAAGAAGGCATTTGGGCTTTAATATCGATTATGTGACTGATACAATACGTCCCGCAAAGAATATGGAAAGCTCGCATTTCTTAGTGAATATTCGTCTGTAATCTAAGCGCAAAATACAAATTAATGAGGATTTATGAATTTAATAATCAAGAAAAAGTTATTTTTCGGAAAACGAAACAGATTTCCCATGATAATATCTCATGTAATAATGTTTTCGTTCTTTCCAAAATATTCTTATTTTCACTTATACTCATTTATTTTAACTTAACTCTCTTTATACGGTACATATTTCTTATGATAATCTTTTAGGTAATAATATTTCCATGCGACCTGTACCTGCAGAGCTATTTCAAAGACAGAGAAGAGCGGACAAAAGTCTCTTTTGGACAATATTCCTGTAAAAAACTTGGAATATAACCGTTTAGTTATAGTGCTAGGTGAAGGACAAGGACTAATTAATATACCATAAATTAAAATAATAATTGAGAAGAATTGTCATTTGGAGCAATGACAGTTGTGCAGAAATAAAGGGTGTTTTTTTTTAGAGGTATAGAACTTTAAATTGCAATAAAACAACGATGACATGAATTTTATTTATCCAAAAGATAATATTGTGGCATTACATTTTAAATATGATTTCTGGCATATGACCGCCACGGCTCGCTCGGATGTAGTCCAATCTGTCTGTAGTCTTTCAATAAATCGATTATGGCACGAGCTGTGTGACATGTTGCGCCGTGGACATCATGGTGGTTCAATTCAGGAATAAAAAAGTTAGTAATGGCTCTATATCGATCACCACTGACTGTAACGTTGTGGCCATCAACGTTTTTGAAGATGTACGAACCACTGATTCCACCAGCTCATAAAGCGCACCAAACAATCAGTTTTTCTCGATGTGACGTTGTTTCGACATACACTTGAGGATTAGCTTCACTCCAAATGCGGCAGTTTTGTTTGTTGACGTTGCCATTCAACCAGAAGTGCACTTCATCATAAAATGAACGTAGTGCTCGATACGTATTCCGCACAGAACCATTATTTTCTGCGTGAGTCTATTCATGATGAATTTCCAGGCCATACTGAGAATAAATCACTTGACAGCTGTTAAATCGGTCGCTATCTTGAACAGTAATGCCAACTTAAAGTTCTATACCTCGAAAAAAACACCCTTTTATAGTATGATAGTACGTTCTGAAATTCGCCGCTTTGACAGGAGAGACTAGATTTTAGTCTAAACCTCATATCGCTAATAAATGAATTTCTGTCCTCTGGTTAACGTTTTCCACATCAACTCAATAAACATATTTATACAATATTAAATTTATCCTTTTCGGTTGAGTTGATATCACATATATCTAATTTGAAGATGTTTTTGTAAAATTTTGGCTGACGCGAACTAAAATATGGCAGTAAAATTAAGTCAAAGCTAACTTATTCACGGCTTCTTTGAATAATGAATGCTAATTCTTTTGCAACATTTTTATACTCTCGCAACTTGTTGCTACAGAGTATAATAGTTTTGTTCACCTAACGGTTGTTTGTATCACCTAAAACTAATGGAGTAAGATATAGGGTTATATATATATAAATGATCAGGATGAAGGGACGAGTTGAAATCCGGGTGACTGTCTGTCCGTCCGTCTGTGCAAGCTGTAACTTGAGTAAAAATTGAGATATCTTTATGAAACTAAGGTTCAAAATTAGTTAGTGGGCCTGGCACCGCCCACTTTTAGGTGGAAACCCATATATTGGGATCTGCTTAACCGATTTCAACCAAATTCGGTACATAATATTCTTCTCATATTTCTATGTTATAGTACGAAAGTGGGCAAAATCGGATTACAACCACTACTATTTTCCATATAACATCATTTTAAATTCCATCTGATTTTTCAAATCAAGCAACAATGATTATATCGGCGTAAAACTTTGCGTAAATAATACGTTTAAGGCATGCCACCATGCCATGTGACCAAAAATTATCTAAATTGAACCAAAACTTTTCAAGCTCCTAGGTACTGAATATGTGGACCCCAGTGCCTATAGTTGACTTATAAAATGTTCGGTTACATCCGAACTTAGCCCTTCCTTCCTTGTTTAATATAAAGTTTTGCCAGCACCTGAAGGAATTTTCCGCGCTTTAATTATTGCAAGTTGCAAGAATATAAGATTTTCGGTTACACCCTTTCTTACTTGTTTAGTAATATTTTTGTAGCTTGCAACTGGGTGTCGCATGAGTTTCAAAGCATTTTTATTAGTCGATTTCTTACCAACACGGTTATAAAAAATTGTTCTTATTTGTTAGATGTGTTTCCGATCGTAACATTATATCGAATTACATCGATATTTTTTTTCATTTAGAAATCTAATGATCTCCAATTTATGTTGGTTAACACCGTTGGCATTCCATATACAAATATTAAATTGCGCTTTGATTAAATCTTGAATCATATTTTGCATTGTATTGTGTCATATATTAGGTAAGATTTAAAATCATATTTTAAACACTTCCGCTTGGTTGATTTTGAGGCAATTGCATTTGACCGGTATTTCCTTTCACCGCCTTTGCAAAACGTCCATGGACTACATTATTCTTAACATAACCAGGCTGTGATTCCCCCGTATGTCCAAAAAATTAGGTGAATAGTTAAAAATTAGATTGCTTTTGATAGGTGATTAATTCGAACATTTATTTAAACGTTGTGATCATTTATAAAAGAATGTTTTCTCGCTTTTGTAGATTATCATGAAAAAAATGGCGTAGCTATTGCCACTTTAATTTTCAAAACATTGGAAAATCACAACATTCCTTTGGAAGATTGCTGTGAATAGGGCTACGATAATGGTAGTAATATGAGCGGTAAATATAAAAGAACGAAAAATTACATCCAGCTTAAAAATAAGCAAGCAGTTCTTTCCCCCTATGGTGCCCATACGCTGAATTTGACTGGAGTGACTCGGCTAAATGCTGCCCTGAAGCAATAACTTTTTTTGGTGCCGTTCAAAAATGTTTCAATATTTTCGATAGCATCACATATATTTTGAAATTCTGAAATCCAAAAGCCCCAATTCATTTCCCTCCCTTTCTAATACAAGGTGGTCTACCAGAATGGTGGCCGTCAAGTCATTTGCAAAAAATGTTCCCGAGTTGATAAACGTTTTGAACGAAGTTAAAAAACTCAACCTTACAGCAGAAACTCGTCGGGACGTTGATGGAATTTTGAAATAAATGAGCAAATTAGACTGCGTTTTGAAGGCATTCATATGGTTTAACATCCTTCAGTCAGTCAATGAAAGAAACTTAGTTCTTCAAGAGATCAATGCCACCTGAAATTAGAAATAAAGAAAGCCTTCTTGTGGATTTAAAGCACGGAAATGACATACATACATGAAGAAGTGGATGGAAATTGCAGTAAAGAAGAAATTGAATTCAAAAGAAACACTCTCTATGTCATACTTGACAGCGTTGTCTCTGGAATAAAGAGAAGTTGCCCAATGAAACTATTCACCTCAGACACGTTTACGATCAAAATTTTGTAACCCGGTTTACTCCATAAAACTTATAGAATGACAACTTATTCAATGCTCGAATATTAGTAAGACTTTTCCAAAATATTTGCATCGCTTTGAGAATATTTTGCACTTCTGTGTTGTTGTTATTAAAGATATAGTATAAAAAATTTTGAGGCCTAAACTTTACCGCGATAGTTACTTTTTACGATTTTTTAAAAATTTTAATTTTTTCATTTTGGCAAGTTTTTAAAAGTTTTTTTCAAACAAATTTTTTTCTCATACCTCTAAGTGTTCTCTTAAAACGCATCAGCTTTCTCTATTTAATATACAGTAGTTTCTGATATATTGAATAGATAAACTCATAAAATCGGAAAAACAAAGAAATTTTCAGTTTTGCATAGCACTTAGGAAACATTTTTTCTTTTGGCGAAATTTCGTTTTATGATAAGACAAAACTTTGCACTATAATTGATTCGATTCGGTGGGGGTCCCGTCCAACTATTTTTAGCTACACTGTACCTAGATGTAGAATTAGCCAAGAAGTTGGATTTGCAAACTATTATGGACGCATTCACTGTTGCCAAAGCTCGAAAAGTTCATTTCTAAGTTTCAAATAATTGAAGATTGGAGTGTTTTAAACTGCATGTTCAAAATCTTATTCATGGTCAACATATTTCAAACGAATTATTTTTTCATTAATTAGATCGATAATTCATACATTCTGGTATTATCTGAAATATTTTTTTGGACTGAAAATATAGTTGGGAACTGATTTATACATAATTGATTTTCAAAATCGTACAAAACAAATTTGTTCCACCCAACATCAACAAGAAAGCAAATTTAATACAGGTGTGATGAGAGCATAAACGTTGTATTTGACTTATTCTTCAAAAAAACTCATTGAAGTAGTAAGTGAGATGATATTAGAAACATTGCTGTAGAGGGGTGTCCCCACCTTTCCATCCCTGGTCCCGGTTTTTCTCTCGGCAGACCTGCTTGTTGGGTGGTTTTTTTTGTTGGAAATATGTATCTGGCACAGAAACATCTGCGCAAGTGGCAGTCTATTGCTGCATTGGGCTCCATCTTTCGGAAGCAAGTAACGCCGAAATATTTATAAATACCTCTAATCCTACGGAACGTGTTCGAATGGTAAACCCTACAGCGGAACTTCGGAACCTTCTTTCAGGTTCCACTGAAATGTTCGTAGCTGGTATTTCAGACAATTATGTTCAGCGACCCAATCAGTTAGAATCTCTTTGCTTAGCTGATTTTGCATCAATGTACAAATTTGTTAAATCCAATAGAAGAGCTAAAACAGTGATCTTGAGGAAGAAGAGGAGGAAGATGATAATTTACCAGAAAGTAGTGTTGTTATGTTTCTTAGAGATGGTAGTAAGCTTGTTAAAAAATAATCCAAACCATTTATAATAGGGTATAAAGGTATAGAAGATTTAGCTCAGATGGAGCCAGAGTAGAGTATTTCCGCGAAATGGTTATGCTTTGCTATCCACGACGGAATTAACAGCAAGATTTTACTTAAAACGATAACGAACGGACTTGCATAATACATTATATTTTAATTGAGGAAAATCAAAATAAAAGGAATATGTCTTAGAAAGTCTTTATAATGAAACAGAATTATGACAAGGTGCGTAAGATGAACTGCCTATTGTGGAAAATGAATTCAGAATGTTAGCACTTCCGAAAAAAAAACCCAAATATAAATATGCTGGAGTTGCATGGTGAAAATTCAAGAAATAATGCGACTGAGTGCAATATGAGACTTATTAAACAACCCCTTTTAATTCCAGTAGGGAAATTATTTTCATTAGTTCAAAGTCTAAATATTAAATAAAGAATCCAGCTATTACATTTGATGCAACAGATAAAAGAAAGTGGCCGATTTTATGAGTTCGTTGGTGGCGGAGCATGTGTAGGACAGATTCGTTGGATCTCTACAATGTATCAAACCCTTGACCATCGATTCAATTATACATCTGGATCCAATCCAAGCATTTTGAAAATTATATTTTGCGCATCTCCAGGTAAATCAGCATGCACATAGACTTACACTGCACTTAATATTTGCTTTACCTGTTAATCAATTGAAGCCACTTAGCAATGATATAATCAATTCAATGTTTTTAGACATAATTGATAAAATACCGATGGTAGGTCCTCGTATGTTTAGCTTTGTTTATGCAAGATTGAAACAAGTTTTCACAATAAACAGACCTTTCGGTTGCATACCGATCATAGTGTTTGGTAATTTGAAGCAACACTCATTTGTTGGAGATAAGAGGATATTCTCTCCCAATCCCAATGATGCATACAGCATGTTAGTTGGTTCCCCTTTGTGGGAGTTGTTAAAATACTTTGAATTAACAGAAATAATGAGACAACGGATGGATCAGGCCTTTGCAATTGCATTAAACCATATCTGGTACTATGACAAATGAGGACATATCACTCATTAAAATTCAAGTTAATTTCGAGGAAGTTCCCGATGTTGTAATACATTTATTTTGGTCCAATGAAGATACAAATAATTTCAATGCCCTTAAGCTCAATCGAACCCCAACTGTAGCTATCCTTTAACTGCAAAAGGAATTGGTGTAAGTGCAAATGAGAATATTTTGGAAAGAGTTAAACTTTTCAAAACTTCTAAAACGCAATGACTGCCCTATGAATTGACCCTAAAAACAATGAATTTAAACACGTGTGATGGCTTGGTTAATAGGGCAGCTGGACATCTTGTGTTTATTTAAATTGTTTTAAATTTATTTTTTCCAGCTACTCTGTGGGTTAAATTCTTGAAAACTTCTGTTGGTTTGTTAGCGCGATCAAAAAAGCTTCATCCTCTTACAAGTTATTTTACACCAATTACAAAAGTTCTAAGATATTTTCAATATAAAGACGACATTGATCTGTGGAACAATACCCTAATATATGCAACTGACACCGCAGCCTGCAGTGACCTGAATAAAATCCCACAAGCTGCCTGAATATGTCTCTGCATCTGCTAATGGCGTAGACCTCAGTTTGAAATATGCTTGGAAAATTGAATAGTAGGCACTGACAGTTTAGTACGTGGTTCATACCAGCTCCAATCCCATCTGCCGTTTTCGAGCCGTCTGTATAGCATTGTTTTGTACTACTCCGAAGGTACTCCTTAAGAATGTTGTCTTCCCAATAACTTTTGCTGCCCAGTGAGACTTTGAATCCCTTTTCAAAGTAAATTCTCTTGGTAATGTCGTCTCTGCACTTCATCTTGCTATAAGGACAATAGCGTCCGCGTAGCCTTGGCAGTGGATACTATTTGAGGATACTGCCTGAGCCTGAATTGTTTCAACAGTTCTTGTTCTGAAAGCCACATTCACCCACCTTATGTTGGGTGGATTTACTTGTCCCCTTTACAGTGCTCGGGTTTTCCTTGTCGAAAAAGTAGTACCGCTTCCCCGTTTACAAAAGTATTCTCTTCGTCAGTAACCAGACTGTACAGAGCAGTGTCCGCGGACCTATCAGCTCTGTACGCGTGCTGGTTTGGATGCAGTGGATTTCGCTCCATTTTCATTTCGTTTCTTCATTCCCTTTAGTGGGAAGGAAGTAAGACTAATCGGCCTGTATGATTTGGCCAGAGAGTAGTTCCTCCACAATTTTTTCGACAACCAAAGATTTCTGTTTTTCTGCTTGGGGGCAGTCAGAGGATACCTGCCATGGAAGGCATCCAGGATGATATCTTATAGAACCTATGTTCTTCAGTGTAATATCAAGTACTTCTTCTCTAACCACAATCAGGAAGGATTGCAGCCAACATTGCTTATTTCAAGGTTGCTCTCAAAAATATATTCTAATAAAGACTCACCTCGTGTGTTCGAGATGACAGCCGAAGCTTCCATTGCTCAATGCAGGATCACCTGGGATACAGCCATGTGGGTAGTGTTAGAGAGAGGAAGTCTCTTCCCAGCACTCTTCAGTGTGCATAGCTACCGCGGATAGTCCGTCTAAGAACTCTTGGATTGTGGGCAGGGCATCTTCGGTCAACGTCTTCTATGAGAGCAACGCTCATTAGCATTCTCCTTGACCTTGTCGTTTTTATTGCGTTTTACCGCTATTCTGGTGCTTTTAAGGGCATCATAGTAACGGCCTACGTTACCTACTTGTGCACCAACTGCCGCTTGTACTGGCCCACCCCTTGGTACGGCCGCTGGTACCTCTTCCTCTCAGGTGATTTTGGCGTAATTTGCCCGCTTAGTCGCTTTTTAGCGGGCTCGGATTTTTGTGTTGCTTAGTTCTTTTAATGGAGTCGTTATCGCCTCTGTACCTGTTCAATGTCAAAGCCCTTGCTCCTTTAGGTGATTTGCCCTCCCTCAGGTGACTGAGGTACAATTCGACACTGGCTCCGCTCATACCAGCTCTCATTGAGTGATCAAAACCTCCTTTATAATCGTCCGCCGACAATGGTGCTGGTCTTTTCCTTCTCCGGCTTAATTTTTTACCCTTAGCGACGGCTTTGCACACCAGCCGCTCCTTGTTCAAGTGGCGTCCCCATTGGCTGCGTTTGATGGTGTTAACTCGCCTGCATCCTTGATTTTGTTGTTTCCTTTTTCGTTGCCGTATCCGTTGTCAATTGTTCCTGTGATTGCTTTTTGCTTTTATTACTCATGTTACTTTTTTCCTTACGACCATGCCCCGTCAAGGTGCTTGCCAATCGCATAGGAAAGAGTGAATTACAATGAAGTGGATAAGCCTAGAATGGTACGAGTTCAAGCACGTCGATCAAAACAGCAGCAAGCACTTGAAAATGAAATTGATCCACTCCTCAGACGTAATTTTCAATCCAGTGTATCTGGAACGAGGAGTAGTCTCTTACAACCCGGAAATATATTAGAGTGCCGATAAATTTGTAATAATTGGGGAAATGTCAATCATTTGTTAAAATGGAAAAGCTTTAAAAAACTGCCGTAAATCTGCAGGATTATTTATGCAGAATGCTGGGAGTATAATTGTCACATTTGGTGCCACCACCTGCTCCATTACATTCATTCGTTTTTGGGATGCAAACCCTCGTCCATTTGATAGACTTCAACGACCTACTATGTTAGGTCGATTTGTCTTCGACGCTGTCAGCAGTTTCAGATAATAAAGTTGTTGTGCACTAATAATGGTATCTATAATGGTAACAGGTCGACAAATCAAGTTATATTCAGTGTATGGATTTGTATATC